TGGCACTCTATCCACTATACCATCTAGCTGCCCCAAAGTTCAGTTTACTTCTTTTAAAGCCTAATTTACTTTATAGCCAGTCACAATACAACTTCCTAACCAAATATAACATTTAGTTTACATTCTTCTCCTAACTCTCCTCATCCCCCCATATCATGCTTCAAAGTCTAATTTGTAGTTTGTATTCATTACTTCATTTGAATCTAATAGCAAACACCTGTGGGGTAGCTACACAAGGTATGACTAGCTCCATTTTACAGATTAGAAACTGAGGCTCAGACAGATTCCATGATTTGTCCAGTCTCACAAAGTGTCAGAGGCAGGATGTGAAGCCACATCTCCAGTGAACTTTCTTCACTACATCATGTTGGTTCCATGCACTGATTGGTTGGCCGTGTCCTTTATAGTCAAAGAGGACCAAAATGACCTCAGTCTATGGGGGTCAATGTACAGTGTGTGTGACCATGGCTGATAAGACCAATATGAGCTCAGAAGGCTCTACCAACATCAGGCACAAATAGTGGGCATAAACATTTGGGAGGGAGCTGTCTCTAAATTTGTACATCTCATGTTTCTTTTGAGCTACTGCACTTCTGCTTTGCTCATAGAGCCCAGTGCCTTCTTTGATGTAGGCACGCCACGCTGGAAGGTCATGTGCCAGTGTCTCCCATGTCCCACAGCCAGTTCTAAAGTTCTTCAGAGGGATCTTGCATCCTTGTAATACTTCTGACCTCTGCATCAGTGCTTGCCTTGTGTGAGTTCTCCATAAAATAGTCTTTTAGGCAAACGTACATTTGGCATCTGAACAACATGACCAGCCCATCTCAAAGTTGCCCTCTCTGCAGTAGGATTTGAATACTTGGCAGTTCAGCTCAAGAAAGGACCTCAGTGTCTGGTACCTCAGTGTCCATAAGTACCTTCTCTTGCCAGATGATCTTCAGAACCTTCCTAAGACAATTCAAATTGAAGCAATTCAATTTCCTGGCATGGTGCTGGTATACTTTCCAGGTTTCACACATACGCAACAATGGGGTCAACACAACGGTTCTATAGACCTTACATTTGGTGGGCTGCCTAATACCTTTTCTCTCCCACACTTTCCTTAGGAGCCTCCCAAACACCAACCTAGCTCTGGTAATGTGTGTGTCAACCTCATCATCCATGGAAATCCCTAGAAAGTATGCTGCCAGGGATCTGGATTCCTAAGCATCTGTCCAAGTAGCAGGTGGAGAATCCCAGTGACTAGCTCAATATTTATGCATTACCAAGATAACTGATGCTTCTCTGCCTAGGTAGCTAGGTGGCTCAGTGGATAGAGCAATGGGTCCAGAGTCAGGAAGATCTGAGTTCAAATCTAGCCTCAGACACCTCCTAGCTGTGTGACCCTTGGCAAGTCACTTACCTCTGTTTGCCTCACTCGCCTCAAATATAAAATGGGGATGATAACAATACCGACCTCATAGGGTTGTTGTGGGGATCAAACAAGAAAATGCTAGCCCAGTACCAGGCATACAGTAGTCACTACACAAATGCTTATTCTCTTCCTTTCTCTCTCTCTCTTCCCCCTTCCATTATGATCCACCTGGGGGTGAGCCATTGAAATAACATGCTGGGCCTAAAGGGAAAAGGGCTTGACTAGTAGGGGTGGGGTACTTGAATGAATTGTACAGAATGCCACACTGCTGGATCAAAGCACAAGACTGGTAGTACAGGAAGACTCATGGGTTGTTGACAGCTACCTCCATACTCACTGAATCAGTGTATTGTCAAGGACCTCAGGAGTTATCTGTTCCAACCTTACCCTTCCTGGTTACTTTAGCCCATTCTCTTCTGGCCATCTTGCCAGCTCCACTGTCTCTCTTCTGGCCTGCTCCAGATTGCCCTTGACCTTCCTAAAAATGTAGTGCACAGAGTAAAACATCAGTACTTCACCTGCAGTCTGATCAGGGCAGCATGAGGAGGAATGACCCCTTCCTTCATTCGGGACACTAGGACTCTCTTAACATCGGATCATAGATTTAGAGCCAGAAGACAACTAACAGGTCATGGCATTTGACCCTCTCATTTTACAGATGATGAACCTGAGGCTGAGGGAAGTTAACGATTTGCCCAGGGTTACACATCTAATAATGTCTGAGGCAAGATCTGAATTCGAGTCTTCCCGACACTAAGCCCAGCTCTCTATCTACTTCATCATCTAAACTAGGATAGCATCAGGTTTTTTTTGACTGCTACATCAATCAAACTGTTGACTTATATTAAGCCTATAGATCACCAAAAAGCTCAGGACTTTTTCATATTAACTGTCATCAAGCTGTACCTCCCTTACTCTGCATTTATACAGTTGAGTTTTTGAACCCAAGCGGAGAGCTTTCACATGGTCTAAAAGGGAGTCACCAGGGGAACCCCTAGCACGGAGCTGGGCATCCACGATCTGGCTCCGCCGGCAGGGACACGTGCACAGCCCCCGATCCCGGATTCATATGCAGACAATCGATCAAGAGTCACCGGTAACTTTAGCAAACGGCCCTATAAAATGGCATCGGCCCATCTGACCTGTGGAGCCACTTTGGATCCTACACCATCCCCTATTCACGTCTCCTGCAAATTTGATATACGCGCCTTCTATGGCTTCATCCAAGGCAATGGTAAAAATACTGAGCGATGCTGTGCCAAGGGCAGTCCTTGGAACATGTCCCTAGACCCTACCCTCCAAGCTGATGTCAATGCCTTAATGCCCATTCTTTGGGTCCAGCCATTCCATCAGTTCCAAAGTGACCTAACTGTACAACAACAACCTCAATAGCTATTATTTCTACAGTGCCTTAATGTTTGCAAAGCATCTCACTCTATCCTCACAACCGCCATGGGAGACAGGTGTCATCCCCATTTTATGGGTGATCTATAATCTAATCCACCTCTTTTCATCTAATCCCCCCAAAAGAGCATACGTGATTTTGTCAAATGATTGGCTAAAATCTAAGAACTCTGTAAATAAGCATTCCCTGATCTTCCGTCTAGGTACCCTGTCAAAAGAAGAAATGACCCGGCTGATGGAGGCTGGGATGACTTCTGATGACCCCTGCTTCCCTTTCTAAATGTTTACAAATGATCCTTTTAATAATGCATGTACAATTGTGCCAACATTTAAAGTCAAGGTCACTTGCCTACAGTTTGCCGTCAATATGCTTTATTTTTTTTTTAATTGGCACATTTGCCCTTCTCCAGCTTCAGAGAAAAATATGACAAACCTGGTCCCCTGGAACTTTCAATAACCAAGGAAGTCACTGCCACGACTGTACTAGCACTTATCTACGTGTGACACCGCTGGTGGAGGTCGCCATATTGGATCTGTACCCAAGTGAACACAGAGAATGCTGGGATCGCTTGGAATTTGAACTGAACAAGCAAAGGTCCACATACGCTCGAGTTGCCAGTTCGCAGACCTGTTACCGTCTGACATGGTTTGGATAGTGTTGGAGAGAAGGAATGAACTAGGTGATTCCTATGGGTCTCATCTACAGGCCACATCCTATTTTAGACAGTATGGAAGAATAGTAGATGGGTACAGACAGCTAAAAAGAGGGTAAAAACATACAGTCCTACTTTAATCCCCAAGGAAGGAGCCTTCCCAGCTCATCTTATCATGAGGCAGCAAGGCAGAATAACTAGATAAGAGTGCTGGACTTGGGACGCCTAGATGGAACAACAGATAGAGTACTGGACCTGGAGTCAGGAAGACCTGGATTCAAATCCAACCTCAGATACTTTATGGCTGTGTGACCCTGCACAAGTCACTTAACCTTGTTTGCCTCCTTTTCCTCATCTGAAAAATGAGCTAGAGAAGGAAACAGCAACGATACTGTAGTATCTTTATCCAAAAAACCCTAAATGGGGTCACAAAGAGTCAGATGTGACTGAAATGACTGAGCAACAGATGGATTTGGGATCAAGGTAAGACCTGAGTTTGAATCCTGCCTCAGACTTAGAGCAAGTCGCTTAACTCCTCAGTTTCTTTCACGTGTAAAATGGTGCTAATAAGAGCACCCACTTCACAGGGTAGTGGCTAAGATCTAACGAGATAAAATACCTAAAAGGTTTCAGAAACCTTGAAGTACTGCAGAAACATAAGCTCTTAGCCTACTGTGAGAAGAATAGAGTCAAACAAGCCTCACCTCCCAGCTTCCCCAATTCTAACAGACCTCACATGTAGCTCAGTGGGAGCCCCAGGAAGCAGAGCTTTGTTTCTGGGTATGGAGTAAATTGATGAGTCAGGACTGATGGACTCAGACGTCAAAAGGAAGAGGAAAAGAACCACACACCCATATCTGCACGTACAGGGTACCTCAAAAGTCTAATGGCCTCAAACTGAACTGAGATTTGGGGTATGCGTATTTATGTGTATATTTGCTATATTTACAAGTCAGTCGATCCCAATTTAAGCACCTTTCTTCCTAAGGGGGTGAAATGAATCTCTCTGGGGCAGCTGCTGCTTCTGCAAAATTGGAGGTTTTCCAGATGACTCCTAGTCACTGCACGACATAGGCACGACACGAGCTAAGGGGCATAACGGCAATGTGCTTTGGAGCAGATTCCTAAGTGCCCCTGAACCCGCAGAACTCGCACTTTGTGTGCACCTGTCGGTGAGCATCCTCATCACTGTCCACCCTGTGCTGCTGGTAAGCTCCCTGAGGGCAGGCACTTGCTTCTTGTTGTCAGTGAATCCTTAGCAGCTTGACTGGCTGGTTGGTTGATCGATTAAATGGACAAAGGACACCTTCAGATTGAGCCACCGTACTTCGTAGATGTGTCCACAGTGGGGCCCCAAAGGTCCACCGATCCCCAAACGTAGCGAATGGAGACTTTTTCACTTCTTCTCATCCTTACAGGGCTTTCCTGCCCTGCAAACATGTGTTCTTCCCTTCCTTCTTCCTTTATTATATACTATATGAAACAGAGGAGGTGGGAGGAGGAGGAAGTGTAACTGGGAATAAAGCAAATAAATCACAACAGCAAGCTATTTTATTTTTCAATGAGACTGGTATCCAAGAGCATACAATTAAGAACTATCCCCCCCCAAAACCCCCTGCAATGTCTGAATTAGTCGAAATTCCAGCAGCCCCAGGAGCTATATAAAAGAGAGTAAAGTAAGTGAGAAAAGGTGGCCTTAAGGTGATCGGCATGCCTGACTTAGTCCCGCCCACACGGGTAATCTCAAAAACTAAATGCACCTGCCATGTCTCCTCACTCCCCCCCCCCCGGCCCTCCTTATCAGCCTGCTGAGAGGATCTGTGGGTTGTTTCACAGCCCCCTTCTCCTCTCTAGCCCTGGGTGATATCAGGAGGGCCCAAGGAGCAGGTTGGAGGTTGGAGCTAGAGAGGGAAGAGCCTAGTAAAGCATGGTTGACAATAGGCCTTGTCATTCTGCTCTCGGAAAATGCCCTTGGACAGCTGTGTCAGGCAGAATGCACACACAAAGTGCTCCGGATGAAACTTGCGCCCCATAGCGCTGATGCAGCGGCCAGTGATGGGCTGCTCGCACCCGTGGCAGATGGTTCCTCGCCGCTGATGGTAGTGCAGCTCACAGAAAGGCTGCCCGTTCAGCTCAAAGAAGGAGGCTGTGGAGAAAGCCTGGAAACAGTCCTGGAGACAAGAGAAAGAACATGCAGATGCTAAGAAGGGGCCACGTTTAACCATTCCCAGAAAACGGAAGCCCAAGGCTGAGAGCCCATAAGCCTATCAGGGGAACAGCTGACCTAAGTACCTAGGCAGTAGAGTTGAGGACATCATCTCTTAAAGAATACAGCAGACAAAAGTCAGGACTGGGGGTGGGGGGATAAGCATTTATATAGTGCCTACTACGTGCCAGTTACTGCACTAGTCACTTTACATATCTTATCTCGTTTGATCCTCACAACAGCCCTGGGAAGGAGGTGCTCCTATAATTCCCATTAAGAAACAGACAAACAACAGTTGAGGGATTTGCCCAGGGCCACTATGTTGTCTAAGGGATCAATCTGAACTCAGGTCTTTCCCACGTCAGGCCCCTTGCTCTGTTTCCCTATCACCTAGATGCCCATCAAGGACACTATCTGTCTATTCTCTTCTAGAGGGGCCTGTCTCACATGCAGATTTGGGGGGAACGCTGGGAAGAAAAGTGTTCTCTTTTCTGAAAGCTAAGTCACAGGATCATTAGATTTGGATTTGGACAAGGATATGATCCAACCGCCCTCATTTTACAGAGGAGCCCCAGACAAACCTGGTGATTTTCAGGTCATAGAGGTGGTATTCAAGCCCCTCCTTACTAGTTCCTATGCTACCTAATTCTCTCTAAGGCCCCAGGCTGACTGACCCCACACACGAAGCACTCAGGGTGCCATACGTTGTCCATAGCAGACAGGTAATTTTCCAACACAGGACGATTGCAGCCTCCACACTTGGGAGCAAACATGGCTAAGAAATCTTTCCGGCAGTATGGCTTCTTGTCCTTTTCATGGAATCCTGGGGAGACAGAGCCAAGGAGTCACTTCACCATGTGAAATAAGAGCCTTTACATTAAAAATCAAAATCGTCTGTGGTGTTGAGACCAGGTTAACTTATTCAAAACAAAATCAGTTGGCTGGGGGTGGAGACCTTTCCTCTGACAGTGAAAAAATCACACTTGATCCCTGCTATCTAGGTCTAGGAGGGCCTACTGTTCGCCACCGACAAGAGGACTGTCTGTCCTTTCCCACTATGGGGACTTGACTGTGATCTTCTTGGCTCCTGAAAGGATAACAAACGCCTTTCAGGCATCTTGAACTGGATTCGAGTAGACATCTTAAACTCAGTATGTCCCCAACCAAACTCATTATCTTTCCTCCTCTTACTTTCCCTGTCACTACAGAGGGCACCACCATCCTCCTAGTCCCTCAGGCTCACAACTCAGGAGGCATCTTGGATTCCTTACTCTCTCTCATCTCCCAAATCCATCTGTTCCCAAGGCCTGTTGTTGACACCTTTACAACTCTCAAATATTGCCTCTCCTTTCCTCCAACATTGCCACCCCCTAGTGCAGGCTTTCATTACCTCACACCTGGCCTACTGTATGTAAAAGCCTGCTGGTGGCCCTGCCTGCCTCACATCTCTCTTACACCTTAATTCAGCCACTAAAATGATTTTCTTGGAGCACAGCTATGACCAAGTCACTCTGCCCCTCTCTCCCACTCAATAAACTCTAGTGCCTTCCTCTCGTCTCCAGGAGTAAATATAAAATGTTCTATTTTGCATTCAAAGTATTTAATAACTAACTCCCTCCTACTCTTCCAGTCTTCTTCTTCTTCTGTTTTTTTTTTGGCTAGGCAACAGGGTTAAGTGACTTGCCCAGGGTCACACAGCTAGTAAGTGTCAAGTGTTTGGTCTGAGGCCGGTTTTGTGCTCAGGTCCTCCTGACTTCAGGGCCGGCGCTCTATCCACTGGGCCACCCAGCTGCCCCCCTTCCAGTCTCCTGGCTGTCCTATGAACAGAACACTCCAACTCTTGGCTCTTGGCATTTTCTCTCGATGTTCCCCATGCCTGGAAGGTTCTCCCTCCTCCTCTGGTCTGCCTACTGACATCCCTGGCTTCCTTTCAGTCCCAACTAAAATCCCACCTTCTGCAGGAAGCCTGCCCTCTCACCTCTCCATCCCGCTGCCTTCTTGTGTTAAGGTTTCCTATTCATCCTGTACATAGCTTGTTTGTGTTTATTTGTTAGCATGTTGTCTTATCAGATTGTGAGCTCCTTGAGAGCAAGGATTGTCTTTTGCCTCATTTTTGCATCCCTGGCACTTAGCCAAGTACCCGGTACACAGTAGGTCCTTAATAAATACTGACTGATTAACTGAACAACAAAAAGTATGGGAGCAAAACTGCAGCCACAAACATGGGCATGGCAAATACGGGCAAGGCGGCCGCCGTGTGTGGCGCCTCACCTTTCACAAGGTGCTTCAGGCACAAAGCCTTTCAGTGTAGGCCTAAGAGCCCCATTTTACAGATGAGGAAACTTGGGCTCTGCATGCAAAGTTTCACAACAGGCAGTCTCTCTTGCCCTTTACCTGAAAAGGACTATCAGAACTGAACTTAGCAGATCCCTTCATGGTCTCTGACCCCTGTGCCAATACAACTAGAAGAAAGCCACGCCAACTGCACTCCAAGTTCTGACTGTATAAATGAGAGAGTTGAAGAGATTTCTTTTCTCATTTTCACCTTTTCTATTGAGAGGAGAAGCCCACCACCGGCAGTTTTTTTTTTTCTCTTAGCAAATCTGGACAGAAGTGGGTAGAGTGAGCAAGGGCTAACTACAGTCTTGGGTAGAGATCCTCTCTTCTCCCCAGAGTCCTTGAACTATCCCCTGGGTCACTCGCTGATGTATTTCACAGTACCCAACTGACACGGCTTTGCTGAAGAGCAGCCGATAAATTAATACCATTTAAAGATTTGCTTTCTTTGTTACCTACTAGTGATGCCGGTTCTTAGATTAATAAATGTTTGTTGGATGAAAGAATGACTGTCCCATCGGATGCTTTCTTCTGGCATTTACTGCAGATACAAGAGGAACTCAAGCCTTCCCCTCCATCATACCAAAGAATTCCATAAATTTCACATGGCCCTAGTACTGTTAACAAAGGCAATTAAATTCACTGAGGTCTGCTATTAAGGTTACAAAAACCTGTTTATCATCACACTGGGCTTCTAACCAGTAGGACTGAACCATGCCTGGTAAATGACTATGAGGGTGAATAAAGCCACTTTTAACGTGGCTTTTGAAAGTAATGACTCAGTCATGTCAAATGACCCAGGAATGGCCCTCTGAGAAGCAGCTGCTCAAAAGAAAGACCCAGGAGTCTCAAGAAAGAGGCAGAGAAGTAACAACAGCCACTTCAAATCAGAAGAGTCTCAGGAGAGGAAGGATCAAAACTAATCAGCTAAACTTTGTGATGCCCCTACATTTAACAATGCAGCAAACTGAGAAAGTTTCAGCACTCAGCCCCTTGAGGCTCTCTCTGTAGCCAATTACCTCTGGAGGGCTGATGAGAAACATTGACAATTAAAAGTACCACAACAGGGAAAGGGGTGTTGATACCCAGCTGAGACTAAGAGCCATGAGGGAAATTAGTGAGCACCTGCAGGGCCAGGAGGGGAAACAGTGAAAAAGAAAGACGGGGATTCACTGTGGGCCTGCTCTCATGGGGCAGCACCTGCACCAGGGCAGGAGAGGAAAGGAAGCTCCAACCTTTAAGGGATGCAAAAAAGTACAGATGAAAGTGATTTCTCTGGAGGTTTAACAGTCAAGCGGGCACTGTAAAAAACTTCATTGTTTATGGTAAAACAAAACATGCTTCCGCTGCTAAACTGACCATAAAGTAGAGAGCTCTAGCTCAGGGCAGTCTTCCTGCAGGCAGGTCTGAATACAGACGTTCACAACAAGGGGCCAGGGGGACCTGGGCTCTGATTCCTGGACAGGCCTTTTGTGGCAAAAAGCCTCCATTTATAAATTTGTTATCATTGATTCTTGTAGGAACACACCACCCAAACAGAAATGAAGATGGTCTCTCCATTCAAATGAGGCCCAGTCTGGGAAAGGAGCTACAGGCTAGGGTCAAGACTGCAAGTTACTGGTAGGAATCTGGGAAGGGATGAACTTGAGCTACATGGCTCATCATGAAAACAAATCTGGCAGTCATTTAGGCCAGGCAGGCTTAAAGCAGGAGTTAGCACAAAGCTACCCTTGGCCAGCATGTGATGAGGATAAAGGAATGCCTGTGTTCTGTTCTTCTGCTAAATACATGCCCAGTGTCTGGAGGAATCTCCAGGGCCACACCTACCTTCCTCATTGAACACCTCTCCACAGCGGAAGCAGAAGAAGTGCTCTGGGTGCCAGGTTTGGTCCATTGCTGTCAGCACCTTCTGCAAAAGGGACATACACACACCCAGTGTCAGAATGTGACGATGCCACCACAATCCAGGTCTGCCTAGTTGGAACAGCGTGGAGGACCAGATGCATTCTTACTTACATCAAGAATGGGGGCAGCACAGTATGCACACCGGGGAGAAAAGAGCTGGTGGTAGTCCTTGGAGCAATATGCCAGGCCACTGCGCTCAAAGAAGGGGCTGCTGCAGCCGATTTCCTTTTTGCAGTGCGTACAGACAAAATGTTCTGGATGCCAGGTCTTCCCTAGAGCTGTGATCACCTGCAGTGGCAAAAAAGATGGCCAAAAAACCCCATGTATTAAATACCTACTATGTGAGAAGCACTCTGTGGAACACTAGGTTACAAAGACAAATAAGAAACAGGTCTGGTCCTCATGCTACTGGGATATGGCACATACACAGATAAGTAAATACCAGGTGAGCTAAGGAGAGAGAACATTAGTGGGGCATCAGGAATAGGTTCACAAGGAGCTGGCACTTAAGCTGAGACCCAAAATAGCCACTAAGCCTCCTCTAGGGCCTAACACAGGGGTGGGGGACCTGCGGCCTTAAGGCCACATGTGGCTTTCTAAGTCCTTGCTGCACTTAAGGATTTATAAGGCCACAGATTCCCACCCCTGGCCTAGAGACTCCACTTAACACAGTCCTTCAAAATGGTGAAGATGAGTCATACAGGTATCTGCTCAAGGGTCCTGCAAGGAAAATAGGAAAGAAAAATCTTTGCAGCAAGTTTCTCTGATACATGGCTTATTTCTCAAATATATAGAGAACTGAGTCAAATTTATAAAAATAAGAGACATTCCCCAATTGATAAATGGTCAAGTGATATGAACAGGTAGTTTTCAGAGGAAAAAAAATCAAAGCTGTCAACAACAGTCATACAAAAAATGTTCTAAATCCCCTGGAGAAATGCAAATTAAAACAACTCTGAGGTATCACCTCACACCCATCGGGTGGGCTAAGATGACAGAAAAAGAAAATGACTAATGCTAGTGGGGATATGGGAAAATACGTAATTTTATGCTAACATACTATTAGTGGAACTGTGAACTAGTCCAACCATATGGAGAGCAATTTGAAACTATACCCCCAAAGCAATAAAACTGCACGTACCCTTTGAGCAAGGAATAACTGCTACTAGCTCTATACCCCAAAGAGATCAAAGAAAAGGGGAAAAGGACCTATTCAAAATAAAAATATTTACAGCAGCTCTTCTTGTGGTGACAAAGAACTGAGAACTGAGGCAATGGCATTACAAGTTATGATTTATGTATGTGATGGAATACTATTTTGATGTAAGAAATGAAGAGGATGGTTTCAGAAAGACAAGAAGACTTACGGGAACTGATGCAAAGTGATGTGGGCAGAACCAGAACAATCTGTACAGTAACAGCAGTACTGTAAAGATAACCAAACGTGAAGGACCTAATAACTCTGATGAGCACAACGGCCCACCACAACTGCAAAGGACTCATGATGAAAAATGCTACCCATCTCCAGAGAGAGAACTGATAGACCTAGATGGCAGAATGAAGCATATTTTTTCTCCTCTTTTTCTTTTTATTTTTCAGAACATGGCTGATGCAGAAATTTATTTTGCATGACTTCATATTTGTAATGGGTTTGATATTTCTTGTATTCTCAATGGGGAGGCAGGGAGAGGCTGGAGGAAGGAAGAGAACCTAGAACTTAAAATAAAACAAAATTAAATTTAAAAATCTTTTTAAAAAATAAAGGATTCTGCAATCATTGGTGGCTACTCCTCTCACCTAACTTCCTCAGAAGGTCGCTACTTCACAGAATCGGGTAAAATGATGCCAAAATAAACATGGGAAACAAATGAAAAAGAAAATAAAGGAAACTCGGGAATTTTTTAATAAAGAAGGAGGATTTTCATTGCCAAATCTCAATTTGTAGTATGTAAGGTGTTAATTTTTAAAAAGTATCTGAAAATATACTTTCTAAAGTAACAGGTTAATATAAGAGAAGGAAAAACCAGATATAAAATCAAAGTTAAGGAACATTAATATTTAAAACCCCTCAAATTATAAAACATGTTGAGGAGGGAAGCATTCATTACTCAGGAGAAAAAACCCCACTGAGATTACTTAGCAGCATAGCAAAAAATAGGATTGGATCCATACTCTATAATAAGTTCCAAGGAGCTCAAAAATCTTACTATTCAAATGAATACCACAAGAATTTTAGAAAAGGAATGATATATTTATCCCAGTTGTGGAAAGAAGGGAAATTCATATCCACCAAACAAATAAAGGAAATGGCTGATGACAAAAAAAAGACTAACCTGACTGCATTTAAAATAAAAACTTAATACAATAAAAAGCAATGCATCCACAAAGAAAAGAACAGATTGGTGAAATCTCTGGTGGTAAAAAAGAAATCTGCTAAAAAGCTGACATTCAAAACCTCAACAGAATTGTCTCACACTTACAAGAGCAGTAGTTCACTCCTGGCGAAATGGCCATAGGGTGGGCACAAGCTGCTCCTGGCAGCTGCGGCTGCTGCTTTTTTTTTTTTTTTGGTCTGTGTATTCTCATTGCTTAGCTTAGGGCTAAAGACAGAATAGGGGCTCAATAAATACTTGGAGAAGAACATGGCAAACCACCCACTCCATCCAGTCCCAAGAAAACTCCAAATGGGGTCACAAAGAGTCAGAAACGACGGAAGTCAATGAACAACAACAGCAAATACTTACTGATCGATTAAAAATTAATGAACACCGAAAAACTCAGTTAGAATTTGCCAAGAATGAGGGGAAAATGCAAATTAAAACAAGTGAACATTTCATCTAAACAATACTTGCCACTTTGATGTAGGTAAGTGGGCTACCTAATGATGCTGCTGCTGAAATAAGAAGTACTATTACATTGTTGGTGGAGTTGTGAATTTGCACAGCTATGGTTACAGGCTTTCCCTTCCTCCACCCCTCCCAACAGTGAGGGAGAGGTGAAAGAAAGAGAAAGATTTTTTTCAATTGAAAAAAAATTTGAATTAGTATACCTTTTCTGGAAAGAAATCTGGAACAATATGCAATGAGTTATAAAACAGATCCCACATTTTAACCCAAAGATCCCAGTAGTAAAGGACATTGCTAATGGGAGGCAAGGAGTAACTATACAGAAATATTCAGAGTGGCTTTATGGGGAATAAGGCATGGTCTATCAGTTTAATGTCATATTATTGTACCACAAGAAGTTAGAAATATAAAGAACACAAAAAATATGGAAGCTTTAGATGAAGTGATCCAGAAAAGAGAAAACATTCATGGAGTAACAATAAACAAAAATAATAACGGAAGCAAAATCTGCTAATGTAAGCAGAAGATCAGAAAGGGACAGAGAAGCAAATCAAGTAGAATGTTAATATCTTGCTTAAGTTGACATATACACCTTGGGTTCATGGTTCATGTACAGTTATCTTCATTTTTGCTTATTTAAATGTCTTCGATAGCTATTCAAGGTGTTTTTTTTTTTATCATAAGAAAGGAAATCAAGACGAGGATAATCCAAAATGTTTACCTTAGAGAAAGCTCAGTCCTTGGTCACACACACACACACACACACACACACACACACACACACACACACGTGTGACTGCAGAGCACCAAGCCTGGACCTTCCTACCTTTCCAGCAATGGGTTTTTGGCAGGAAGCGCAGTGGCCCTTGGGGATGGTGGCAATGCCAAGGTCTTGCAAGTCCTGTTCCAAACCCCCAAGCATAGTGTCCAAGTTGGTGCTGGAATCTTTCTTCTTTGGCAGTGGCTCCTTGGGGCCGTCAGACTTCACCATGACCTGCCAGCAGGAAGAACAATTTTAAAAGGCACAAAAATCAGCAGCCTCATGTACTTTCATGTTCACAAGCCCATCCCACATCGAGATCCCACTATTACTTATGCATAAGAACTGGTGGAAAGGCTATCACCTAGGAAAAGTATTGAAAATAAAGGTGCCTTGCAGCAGCTAGGTAGCCCAGTGGATAGAGCACTGGCCCTGGAGTCAGGAGGACCTGCGTTCAAATGTGGCCTCAGAGACTTAACACCAGCTGTGTGACCCTGGTCAAGTCACTTAACCTAGCTTGCCTCACCCAAAAAAAAGAAGAAGAAGAGGAAGAAGAAAATAAAGGTGCCTAGAGTGGGTCCTTCTAGCCCTGATCTCTTATGATGCTATGTTCTATACTGGTACAGCTAAAAGAACATTGGCTTGGGAGTCAGAGGACGTGTTCAAATTCCACCTGTAACGCATACTACCACGGTGACTTCATTCTGCTGGAGGTGCTTGGACTAGATTTGCCTGAGGTCTGTTCCAGCTCTAGCTCTCTGATTCCATGACCTCAGAACCAGTCTAGTACCTTCCCCATAAACCATGTACACACAACCCCAAAATATCCTGGGATGTTGCTCCCTCATCTTAACAATCTACAATGACACCCTCTCTGTCCAGCCAGTCAAGTGCAACGGCAGATATGTAGTTTAGGGAAGCGAAAGCTAAGGCAAGGATGACAAGCATTTTCCATTGTCTGGAGGCCATGTAGAAGGATCCCAGAACTCAGCCCAAGGGCTAGGGGTTGAAGCAAGACAGCTTTCAGTTCAGTAAAAGGGAAATGGTGCCCAACCATGAAGACAGCAAGCAGGGGTGGCCTCTGTGACCCTGGGGGTATTCTGGGAGATGCCAGCTGATCATCCGTCAGGCAGGTGTCCCTGAGGAGGTTAAGGCCTCCCTGGATGAGCTCTCTCCCTTAACCAGCTCTAAGACACTATGAGGTAGTGGTGATAAGTGCAATGGATTTGGAAATCAGGAGATCTGAGTTCAAATCCTGGCCCTGATATCTACTAGCATGGAGAAGTCACTTTACTTTGCTTGATGATCTCATCAGCCCCTATGGATTTAATTACCATCTCTATGCTGATGATTCTCAAATCTACCTTTTTTTGCCCCAACCTCTCTGCTAACCTCCAATCTCAAACCTCCAACTTGACTTTCAGAAGTCTCAAACTGGATGTCCAGTAGACATCTTAAATTCCACATGGCCAAAACCAAACTCATTATCTTTCCTCCTAAACCCTCCCCTCCTCCTACCTTCCCTATCGCTGTCAAGGACAATACCATTCTCCCAGCCCCTCAGACTTACAACTTAGGAGTTATCTCGGACTCCTCACTATTTCTCACCCCCACCCCCATACCCAAACTGTTCCCAAAACCTGTTGACTTCATTCTTTGCAGTATCTCAGAAATACACATCTTCCTTTCTTCTGACAGTGACACCCCCTTGGTACAGCCCTTTGTCACCTCACACCTGGCCTACTGAAATGGCCTCCTGGGGAGTCTGCCTGCCTCAGGTCTCTCCCCGCCCCACCATCTGTTCAATCACCCATTCAGTGATTTTCCTAAAGCCCAGGTCTGACCGTGTCAATCCCCTTACTCAATAAACTCTAGTGACTCCCTATAATCTTCAGGAGCAAACACAAAATCCTTTGTTTCATGCCCAAAGCTCTTCATAACCTGGCCCCTCCCACCTCTCCAGTCTTCTTACATCTTATTCCCTTTTTACACTTTACACCACATATTCTTTGATCCAGTGACACAGGCCTCCTGGCAGTTCCATGGACAATATCCTCCATCTCTCAGCTCCAGGCATTTACTCGACTGTTTTCTCTACTCCAAATCCTGTACAACCTTGTGGGTTTTTCTCAGATCTACACTTGGCATGAGAGGTCTTTGAACAGAGGCTGGATGACTTCTTGTTAGAAATGCTGTAGACAGGATGTGAGCTCAGGAAGGGGATTGGCGTGGGGAGCTTTTTAACACTTAGGATTCCACAACCAGATTCTGCCCAGTAGGCCCTGTCATCACTAATATCTCACCTTTCTGGCCTTATATTTATTTATCCAATAAACATGTCATATTTATACCATGAGAAATGACATTACATTTGTCTATGTTGGAGTTTTGTCATGTAAGTCAGGATTTTATTTCCCCAACTGGCTCATAGGCTTCTGTCAAAGAAAAAAAAATCTTTTCTGCATTTTAGGCCCAAGTCTGCCAGAAACGACTTTGTGAATTTCACATAATTCTAAATGCACACATTTCTAGCACCTTCTCTTAGTGACTATTCCCCATTTATACCACACACAACTGCTTTGCACATAGCTACTTGCATGTTGTCACCCAACTGGAATGTGAACTCCTTGAGGACAAGGACTGTTTTTCCTTGTTTTGTATTCCCCAATGTGACAAATAGTAGATGCTTAATAAATGCTTGTTGCCTGTTATAGCTCAGAAAATGTCCAAACTGACAGTGCCCCACCCCACCCTTCACCCCACAACACTCCTGGACATCTCTCTACCACACGACAATTGCAGGTTGCACTGCAGATTAGCAAAGATGACCAAAAATGGCAATAGTCAATGCTGGAGGAATTGTGGGATAAGAGGTACACTAATATACTGTTGGTGGAGCTGTGAAATGGTACAACTGCTGTGCACAGCAACTTGGAATTATGCAAACAAAGTGACTAAAACGTTCATATCTTTTGAACCAGAAACCTCATTACTGGCCTCATACTCCAAGGAAGCCATTGACGTAAAGAAAATCCCCACAGACACTGAAATATTTATAGTATCACTTTTTGTGATAGCAAAGAATTGTAAATTAAGTCAATGTCCATGGGTTGGAGTACGGCAAAACAAGTTGTGGTACGTGAACGTCATGGAATATTACTAGGCTGCAAGAAATGATGTGTGTGCTGAATATAGAGAAGTATGGGAAGAACTACATGAACTGATGCAGAGGAAGTCCGAAAGAAAATAAAAGACATAATGACTAAAACAATGTAAATAGAAACACACACACACACACACACCCCAAACTAGAAAAACCACAAACCAAAAAAATCACAAGTGAGTGTAGCAGAATTGTAAAGATCAAGTAGGACTCAAATGAAGAGATGTGAGAGAACGCCTCACCCCACCCCTTGATGGAGGGTGGGATTTCCATAGGTGTTTCATATTGTACAGGTTTGGGGACTTTTTCAAGGTGTTGACTGATGGTACTGATTTCTTCTCTTCATTTTCTCTCTCCATTTCTCTCTCCTTTCTTCCTTCCTTCCCTCTCTTCCTCTCCCTCTCCCCTTTAAAAATCTCTCTCTCTCTCTCTCTCTCTCTCTCTCTCTCTCTCTCTCTCTCTCTCTCTCTCTCTCTCTCTCTCTCTCTCTCTCTCTCTTTTTAAAAAAATTACTATTTGTTACATGGAATGGCTCTTAGGGTGGGGGTGGAGGGAACTGGAGAAAACTCTGATGATGAAAAAAACATGACATTAATAAAAACTGAAAAATTTGTTTAAAATTTAAGGCAACATTTGTAGGAATCTTGAGCAAGGTGAAGTACCCTGTGTTAAAATATAGTTTGGGTTTATCATTCTACTGCATCTTAATCTTCTAAGGCTGTTCAATTCCTTCCTTGACTACTCACCTCAAGGACTGAAAGGGCTTCTTATTCTCTGTGATCAAGACCCTAATCCAAGGGCTCTTAACCTGAGGGCCATGAACTTTTATAAAATATTTCGATATTATGGGGCACAGTAGAAATACTCTTATTTCAAAATAGTTTCCTTATTTTATTTTATGCATGTAAAACCATTCTTCTGAGAAGAGGTCTGTTGGCTTCAGACTGCCAAACAGGTTCATGACACACAAAAAGTTAAGAACTCTTGCTCTAAACTCTTCTGAACAGAAAGGCTGCTACTGTCTCTAGCCAGCTCACAGGGCTGGTACTTTCATTTTCATTTATTTATTTTTCTTTCAGTGAGGTGATTGGGGTTAAGTGACTTGCCCAGAGTCCCACAGCTAGGAAGTATCATGTGTCTGAGGCTGGATTTGAACTCAGGTCCTCCTGCCTCCAGGGCCAGCTCATAGGGCTGGTACTTTCAGGAGATGAAGAAGGCAGGAATCCTGACTGGACATGTGGTCTTGTTGCCTTCCTTGGGTCTCAGGTTTTTGTTCTTGACCTTCTATACACTTTTCCAAAGGGAAAAGAAAAGTCTAGAAAGGACTTCAGACTAGAGAAACATGTATTTCTTGCCATTTTAAGTTGAATTAAAAGGAAGTTTTTCATATGTTTCCACGTTTCTTCATGCTCATGACTATTATCACAGTCTCTTTTTTGTAGCACACTAGCGTGTAGCACAGCTCTAGGGATACAATCCAGCACAACTGAACGGCTTTTGGTCTGGGACACACGGCTGGTGGCACATGAATGCACAAGTCACTCCTTGAAGAAGAATGGAAACCAGAATCTTTACAGAGGTCCTACACAGAAAGCCTACTTCGATCATTATGTATGCCACTGTTCATTGCGAAAGCCTGAGGGCCAGGGAACATGCTTACCTTGGCCTGCATCTGACACAGGTGAGCCATGAGCTCATCTAGCTGAGCGGCTGCTGAGGTGGCCTGAGGCAGCGGCCGGTCATCTGGTTCCTGAATGTCACTAGGAAGGAGAAAAAGTATCAAGAAAAGTCCCCACCGCCCAAATCACTACCAACTGCACTTTGAACTGTCACTTCTCGAGCTCAACATCTGACCTCTAAACAGAAAGTTTTCCAAAAAGAAAAAGTCAAAAAGATGAACTAAAGGCAGGCTGGACGTTCTGTCCTGTGCTTCCTTATTTGGTTTTGGTCTCCATTTGCCACTAATACAAGTGCCAAGAGCTAGTCTCAGTTTCACACAGGAAAGTATGAAGTGTCTAAAGGCCCATTTTCAACAGTGCTATGTAGTACTGAAAGGACCTTTCCTCTTAAAATGGCTTTCTCGAGGAAAAATGACTTACCAATTTATTACGTTTATTTTCTCTTCTGTCATTTTCATTCATTGATTCAATGAACATTAATTAAGCATATAGTGTGTGCTGAGCACTAGGTAAGGGACGGGTGGGAGGTAACATTTCTAGAAGCCATGGTGCCTGGCTTCATGAAGCTTACTTACAGTCGAATATCTGACTAGAACACAGAACACATAGCACTACTGAGCTCTGGTCACTATCCCAACCCTGTCATCGATGCACTATGTAACATAAGAAATTGTTCCACCTAAGTCTCTCTTTTGACATCTCTAAGATAACATTAACTAAATATGGTTCCTCACTCTCGCTCAGGGGTGAATAATATGGCTCTTTCTTATAAGAAAAAGACAAGAATACTTCCCATGGGGTTTGCTCCTAAAGGCAAACAAACAAGGTAGGAGGGACACAATGGATAAAACTATAAAGGCAAGTTTCTTGCAGCTATGTGAATAGGGACTCACTTGTGCAAATACCATTACCTAAAAGAGCCACATGAAGACCATATATCCTGTGGAGAACCACAAATACACATCATAAAAGTATTAAACTATATCCAAATATGCTAATGTTTTCGCCAAATATATTTTCACCATCTCCCTTGAACACAGAGAATTAAAAAGGTGGGAATTTTAAAATGAAGAGAATTATTTTATTATTTAAGAATAATTTACTATTAATCCTTCATCAATTGGTATCGAATCTAAGCATGCAAAAAGTATCTGAGAGGCTGATTTACAAGTGACATATTAATTTATATTTCTACTTAAAAGTCCCTAGAAATGCAGGTGATTAGATGCAAGTAGAAAACTACCAGCCCGGTATAGTCCCTGTCTTTAAAATGATGGCAAAGCTTTCCAGGCCCTTATTTATACCTTATTTCTGTTGCCTCTGATTTCAGGGTAACTAGGGGAAACAGCTGCCAAGCTGTTTCTTAACCCAAAAGAAAAACAATTCACCTAATTGCTTTTCTGCCTCACAGGTAATGGGGTGGATGGCTGTCTGTCTGCACAGGCGCAAGATGGGGAGGAAAATGTAACACTTCTTTCTAGCCTCATTTATTACAATGGAGGAAAAATAAAAAGGAAAAAGACCAACGGATCTTTGAGGTCCAAAGAAGCAGTAATAAAGACAGCACTGTGGAATAGATCAAATGAGAAATTCAGAATAGTCAGAAGATCTTGGTTTAAATCTCAGCTCTGTTATTTATCTCCCTCATGACCTTCAGCAAATTAGTTAACCTCTCTGAGCCTTAGTTCCATCAGCCTTGAAAAGAGGGGGTGAAAAATTAAAAGTAAAAATAGCAGTGTCTCTTCTGCTACTATAGGTACTCTAACACCTGTAAAGTAAAGCTTCTCATGGCATCACCGTCCAGCATTCCCGGTGCTACCACCTGCCTCCAGGGTAGGCTCCCACTGCCATGTTGCTCAAGCACCTTAGCAGCCTCACAGGCAGAACAACAAATAGCCGTGACTAATCAATAGGCGACATAGTCGGGCGGTGGGGCTGTGATCCAAGGATATCAAGTTTATACGCCTTGGCTCTCATACTGTTAGGCAAATCAGTTTCTCTCTGCTTGCTTGCCCAGAGGGGCACAGGAGAAGGGAATATCTGGCCAGCTCCCCATCTGCTAGGCAGGGCAGGACCATATGAATTCTGGAATTCCCTCTGCTTTTCCAGATCTGGAAAAGAACAGCTCTCACTTACCATTATGGGACTCTGCAACCTAGACCTGCTCAGAGATGAGAAATGGTGGTGAGACTATGATAAATGTACGATCACAGATATCATTATCAATCTACACATTCACGGCAACCAAAATTTAAATAAAAAGATCAATGAAAATAGAATACCTGTAGACATTGTCCTCTTCAATCTTTGTAGTATATATCAGCTGCGCCTAAGACACAGAGGTATGGCGAAAGAAAAACAAAACACCGCCATTATTTTGGCATTCATTGACTGAAATCATCTGTAGCTATGGTTCTAATTTCCTAAGAGAACCAACTGATGCCTCTCTCCTATGAGGGTCCTCTGTACCTCAAAGGAGGACTATTCCAATACAGAAAGCCCTTCCTTCTGGATAAGTAAAGAAGGCAAGGAGAGGAAAAAAGTCTGCTCATGCCTATCCTGTCCCACCTAGATTAGAATCATAGGGCAGTTAGTCACGGCTTACCTTTCTATAATAAATTTATCAAGGTTTTAACCCTCTGACTAGCAACCACCTGGAATAATCTTTGAGAATTGCTAACCTCTTCTTAAGATACATCTGAGAAAGTCCCTTTCTCAGATGAATGCACATAAAATCTATGTTTTAGGTTTTTGTTCTTTTTTTGGGGGGGGGGAGTTGTATATATCTGTGGTTACAATGGTTCAAGGAACTGCTAATGAGAAAACTCCTTCTGCCAATGAAGACTAGAACCTTCTCTGAAACTTTTAGTTTTAGCAATCTGCTTGGGGGTTCTGAGACGTAAACCAGAGATCACATGACCATTATAGGTCAGAGGTAGGGCTTGAACCCAGGGCTACTTGACTCTGATAACAGTTTGAAATTTACTAAATTATGATGCTTTTCCTACATTGTATATGTTATCTCACACAGAGGTTGCTCTTCCTTCCCCATCTAATATGGCTGACTCCTTGTGTAAGCTATAATCAATGCTGGGTTCAGAGAAATAGGGGAAGACTTGTATAAACTAATGCAGAGTGAAATGAGAAGAACCAGGAGTAAAATTTGCACAATAACACCACCACTGCAAAGACAATTTTGAATAACTTCAGAACTCTGACCACAGCAATGACCAACCATCATTCCAGAGGACTGATTACCTATGCTACTCTGCTCCTGACAGACAGCTGAGTAATGAACTCAGGGGAGACAATGAGACATACATTTCTGGACGTGGACAATTTGGGAATTTGTTTTGCTATACTATGCATACTCATTATAATGGCTTTATTTACATTTTAAAATGGTATGAAGAGAAAGAAAATAAGTACTTAGTTTCTTTACTTGAAAATTAAATTTTTAAAAATTCAGTGTATACTGAATATAGAGCTGTATCTATTTCTCTTTCAAACAGCTTTCATTTCAGGGTACATCCAATATTGGGAAGACCCCTATATTCTGAGCAATATTTCAAATATCTGTGATTTCTCTTATGTTACTACACCTTCCAGCACAGCACGTTGCAACTCCTCCCCACCTTATGGGGGTCAAACAACTTATTGCTGTGAGTGCCAACCTTTGTCACTGGTAGCCAACCCTGTGGGGCTGAGGCCTCTGCTCAGTCCTCAGGGTGACAGGCACACAGTTCATCACTGAGCCAACAGAGCCTGACGGGCCTTGCCGCAGCTTCTTCTTTGCTAGAACAACCTTCAAGGACTCAAAGTCACGGCCATGATCTAATGAGGCACTGAGGGAAGACTTATTAATAATCACGCACATGCAACCATTTCCCTACATGCCCAGGAAACTGAAGGAAAAAACTCACCGGCATGGGCTGTGAGTCCTCTGCGGCTGGACAGGCCTTGGCTGCTTCCACCACCTTCCCATCCTTGCTGGGTTGCAGGAGAGGTTCGGGATCCTCATTACTTTCCCCCAGGGAAGATCGTTCCAGTTCTTCCAACAAAGCATCTGGACCACCAAAGAATAAGCGACAAAAGACAGCAAGTAACACGTGACTGTCTTCTCACTAAAGCAGAACCTTCCAGCCCCATCTCTCTGGTCTACTCTCCCATCGTTTATTTATTGTGCTTCCTATGGAATGAGATCATGTTTATAAAGTGCTTAGCACAGTGCCTGGCATACAGCAGGCACTTAATAAATGCTTGTTCCCTTCCCCTTCCCTGATTCTATCCCAATATACATACGCTGCTTCTTCAGAGTGGACACTGGCAATGCTTTGTGCAGACCATGGCTGCTTCCTATTGTCTACTACCTATGGTTCCAATATTATAGTCCATGACTTCATTAATGCAATGAGCACTGATTTGGAATCTCAGACCTGGGTTCAAATCCCAGTTCTATCATTTACTTTAAGATGTCTTGGGCAAATCATTTCCCTTTGGGTACCTCAATTTTCTTAACTATACAGGGTGTCTCAAAAGGCTTAGTGCAGTTTAAGCTTTACTAGCTTAAGGAGTTTGGAAACTGTCAGAACTGTAACTGCCCCAGGCAGTAATAACACTCTGGATCTTTAGCTGAGCAGGAACAACAGAGCTTAGCACCTAGTTAGCAAGAATAATTAAAATTGCAAGTTTCCAGATGGCAGGCTGTGGGTGAACTTTCCTATCCCACTGTGTTCTGCTCTTTTCTCCTCCCTTCCCCTCCCACATTAAGCCCTGCAAGCTGGTGTCCCGGGATCTGTGACTCCTCGTCCTCCCACAAGGCAGTATCCCCAAGCCCATCACCTCTTGTGCCAAGTATAGATTGTGGTACCCCCAGGACAAAAATGTCTCCCTTTAGCTCTGGCCTACATGACTGCTGAGCTCTCTTTTAGCTAGGACACGTGGTGATCCCAGCAGAATGGCATTCCATTTTTCTTCCTAGTAGTCATATGGACTAAATAAGCCAAAGTGGGGGAAGGGTCATGGTTAGTTTGTCAATCCTGCCCATTTTTCCCAGTCTCAGGGCAATCAATGCATGAGTTTCAAGTCTCTGATCTCTAGTGGCCTTGTTCCTCTGGGCCCATCACTAAACTCAGTGTTCTAAACAACACTCAGATTTAAATAGCAGAGATGGTGCTGACTTGTACTGCTACAGGGAGTTTCCCCACCCAAGAGTTCCTCATGCCAGTGAAATCACAGCTGGAGTCCTTAAGCCCTAAACTTTACTGACTCCCCAAACATCACGGCTCCCCTCTTTCAATCTGCTAGCTTTGCTTAAAGGACGCATTAGTGATTCCTAGCCTCAAGACAGACTTTTATTAACAATGGAAGCCAGAAAAGCCCTGTAAAAGTATTTACCAAGGAGGGTGTACTAGGTAGCTAGTTCAGTATTGGGGCTGGGGGGAAAAGGGTAGGGTAGGAAAAGAGGGAGCTTCAAAACCCACCTCTGTCCCCAAATCCATTAAACCCAGCTAGTAGGCCTCAATCACCCTGCTTTCCTCTATGTCACTTCTTTTAATACATCATGTTCTCAGCCGGATTTCATAATTTCAGGATGACTATTTTCAGTATTAGCAATGAGGGGGGAGGGGAAAGGGGGCACAGGTTGGGAGAATGAAGTGATATAGCATAGACTGAACACTAGAACACGATTCTACCCACAACTTCTTGAGGTCTCATCAGTAGCAGCTGCTAAAGAACATGGTGGTTTGGGTTTGTTTGTTTTTTTAAATATCTATGGTTTCATTAGATCACCTACATGTTATGTGCACCAGATCACGATGGCAACCAAAGCTTGCTGGTAACCTAAAAAGCAATGGAGAGTGGCACAAAGAGTATAAACTAGCTGCAGCACTTTACATTTTACATGAGGAGCACAAAGGCTCTGTGAACGCTGGTAAAGGAAGTGGGCAGATCATGAACTGAGACTGAGAGATAGCAAAGAGACAGCCTGTGAGTTATACTGGTCCTCACGACATCCACTCCTGCCCACAAAGGCGAAGGCCTCTCGAGCAGAGAGCAGATTACCTATGGAGGATCAAGGAAAACAGAGACAAGATTGGCCCGAGTTCTTGTGGAAGGAGAACCCACCTAGGGATGCCAGGCTCAAAGAGCAGTATGTGGTCTTCTGGCATGAACAGCACAAGGTTCATTCCAAGTTACACAAAGGATCGTGGACTTCAGAGCTGGCAGGCAGGGACCTCAGAGCCACCCAGTACAATCTGTAGCACTGGATAGATGAGCAAACTAAGGCCCAGGAAGGTTGTCATTTGCCCAAGATCACACAGGTAGTAAATGTCAGAGGAAGGAGGTAAAGATGCAAATCCTCCTTTGTTCTCTTTCTTTTTTCTGGCGAGTTGGGGGTAAAGAAGGAGAAGGGCAGACTGTATCCATATGGGGAATTTCCAGTGTGGAAATTCCCTCCATTGGTAAAGATCAACAGTACAACATTAATTTATAGACACAGAAAATTAAATGACTTATCTACAGTAACACAACTAGTATGTCGTTGTAGTAGAGGCAAGATTTGAACCCAGACCTTCCTAAGTGCCAGGATAGTCCTCTAATCACTACACTATGCTGCCTCTCATTGTTTTATTTTTATTTCATTTTTACAACAATCACTATACTTCCTCTCCTTTTGTTGTCTTTTATCCCAGCAGCAATCTCAGCTCTACAAGGCTCTCACCCAATATGACAGGGAAATGGCTGGATGATAAAATCTCAAGCACCTTCCAAGAAACACACATCCTTCTGATATATTAAGGTGACCATTTCAATTCCACTTAATTCAAAAGTGCTTGTCAGTCTAGCAATCTAGATCCTCCAGCTGACCCACCATGACAAGGGGACGCCCAACACAACGTGTACAGTTCTTCCTGCTCTTGGGGTGGGGAACAGAAGTGAAAACCAGATCTTTCAGCTTCTCTGCACAACCTAATTAGCCTTCAAATAAGCCCATCTACAGACAGAACCCAAATTTTCATTCCCTTTTTGCTTCTTCATGGAGAAGCCCCCCACTCACCCAGTTCTTCCATCGTCACAAACCCAAGTGTCTGCAGTCTCTAACTCCAACAGGTCGGAGGGTTGGAAGACCACAAAGCAACTGAGACTGCATGAAGCACTCTCTAGTTCTTCTTTTAGTTCCTGTATTTGCTTAGCACTTCCTCTCTTTGATTCAATTTAGGGAGTTTTTTTCTACTTTTTTTATGAGTCACGTACTTTTCAAAGTATGGTTAGCAGTATCTGAAAAAAAAAATGTGACTGATGAAAGAGAGAGCTAATTTGGCCAAATGGCCTGATTGATAGGTTGGCTCTGGAGCCATGAGGAACCATGTCAAGGTTTGCCAATGACCAAGATCACAAGGAGAGAACTTGGGCTGGATTCCGTGCAAATGAATGACTCATGTATATGCCTCAAAAAGTCATTCCTCATTAACAAGCTTTATTCCAGTGCCACAAAACCTCAATCGCTGACAATGTTTGTACATGCTTGTATATAAACCATTATTATCTGTAAGTCTATTCTATGCCAACTTGATCTTCAGTTCATCAGGGCAATTGTGCCTCCCTTTATACCTCACTAGGACTAAAATGCAAAGAACAGACAATCTATTATTGCTAAAGTTTTTATGAATAGGAATAGAACGTGGATGGAAATTGGGGATTTCCAGTTTGCATTACTCTAAATAACCACTGGATGTCAGTGTTGCTCTAAGGAGCTTCAAGGAAATTCATCAGGAAGGGGATGCATTTATTAAGAATGAAGAAATGTTAATCATATTGGTGGGGAATGGACCAGCCCCAAATACTGCAAGGAAAATATAATTTTGGTGTTTGCCCTAAAACTTTGCATCTGGTCCACAAGTTAAGTGAATGATTTATATGAAACCCAGAACTGTATTCTGAGATACTATTTCAGCAGTCTTCCTGGATCCTGCGGCTTGGTTTTCTTTTGATTCCATCCCTTTGAGGATTTCTCCTTCTCTGATTAGACTTTTGTTGATAAAACTAGCCAAGGGCCAAGATAGGGGAATAATAGAAGGTATGAAAATGTAAGTTTGAGAGATGAGTAAATGTAAATTGTTTTGGTACACCAGGCAGCTCAGGTTTAACATAAACACTTGCTTGAGATGATTCTGGCAAGCAGCTCCTCAGGCTGCTTTCCGGTAAGGTAGACATGTAAAAACCACAGAAACAGGCGGCTCCTGGGAGATGAAGGAAGCTACAGAGGAGAGGGCCTGTAAGGGAGACCCAATTCCTGGTGCCTTCCTGCAAGGCGCCATGACATCGATCCCTCTAATCCAGACTCGATTCCACGTGCCTCCTTCCTTCTCCTAAGTAACCGCAAAGTTGAGTGATCAGGGTCTACTTCCCACTCACCTAGGCAGAGTACAGCTCTCATTTAAAGGAGGGTCCCTACAACAGATATAAGAACTCCTATTTCTCATAACAACTTTTGTAATCATTAATACAGGGACTAGTCCATTTTATAGATGAGGAAACTGAGGCTCAGAAAGGTGAATTGTGTTGCTTGGAGTTAGGAAACTAAGAATAAAGATTAACTTCTCCAGGAGACTCAGAATCTCAGGGTTTTAGAGTAGCAAGAGCCTTGCGGGTAAAAAAAAACCAACTCCCCCATTTTAAAGCTGAGAAAGCAAGCCTGAAGAGGAGAAATGAACCAAACCAAAGGTCACAAAGATAAGTAGAAGGCAATATAGAACAGTAGAAAGAGCCACTGAAGAGCCAGAAGCCAGAGGTTGGAGTTGTGTGCTCTGCTAGCAGACGGACCCTGGGAAAATCAGGATTAAAATTTAGTTTCAATGACCTAATCGGACTGATTCATTTAGTAGATGCCCAAAACGGCGAATGACATGGTGGAGTCACACACAAATAGTAAGTGCCAGAGAGGCTTTGCTAAGTGCAAAGCACCACCCCACCCTATGTCCTCTGATACCAAATCTGGGGCCCTTTGTACAGAACGGTACAATGGGGAAAACTGCTACATCACAGGGACCCCAGTCTGCCACAGCTGCCTGGGGCCCTGGCCAAGTTCCTTCCTCTCCCCTGGCTTCCTTTGCTCATCTGTAAAGTCAAAGGTTGGGCTCAGTAACTTCCAAAGCCCCTTCAATATCCAGCCGGAACCTGTGATTTCATTGGCAGAAGGAACTCCTTGATGAGCAAACCCCGATGCAGGCTGATCACTTCTCTACAACATAAGCCTCTCAAGCCGACTCCCCTAGTGCACTGAAAGGTCAAGTGACTTGTCAGTGTTCCATAGATATTGAACTCAATTCTTCCAGGCTCTGAGGTCAGCTGTCCTAGGTCAAGTTGCCTCTAATCTCTATATCCATAAAGTGAAATGATGAAGATGTTAATAGCAGTAATTAGCATTTATTTAGACAGCACTATGTGTTAAGTACTGCATTAAGAGCTTTTATTATCTCATTTAATCCTTACAACAACTCCAGGAGATAGGTACTATTCTGATCCCCATTTTACAGTTGAGAAAACTGAGGCAAATAGAGATTAAGTGCCTTGCCCAGGGTCACACAGCTTGTAATCATTTGAGGCAACATTTGCAGTCAGGCCTTCCTGACACCAGGCCCAGCCTCACAGAGTGCTTGTGATGCTTAAATCAGACAAGGTATATGTGAAGCACTCTTCAAGGTCTGACAGGGGCCTAAATCTAGCAGTCACCAGGAAACGAATCTCTCAAGTCTGAGACACATCAGGGTTTCCAAAATACTGCTCCTACATGCTTTTGGGATAGGTCATACAAGTATTACTTATCAATCAATATTTATTAAATACCTACTATGTCCCAGGCACTGTGCTTAGTAGCCGAGATACAAAAAGAGGCAAAAGACTGTTACTGCTCTCAAGAAGCCAACAGGAGAGGCCAGTCAAACAAAAATATACAAAGCAAGCTACGTACAGGGTAACCAGGAAATAATTAACAGAGGGAAGGCATTAGAACTAAGGGGGATTGGAAAAGGTTTCCTGTAAAAGATGGGATTTTAGTTGGGATTTAAAGGAATCTAAGAAAGTCAGTAGTTGGATATGAGGGAGAACGTTCCAAGCATGGCGGACGGTCAGAAAAGTAAACTGAGACTTGGAGAGGAAAATATGGCTACCCTACAATCAAAAGGGTGGAAACAGTACCAATCATCAATAGAGCCCCTCCTTTTAGAGATGGGGAAAACTGAGCAGGCAGAGCCAGGATCTGAAGCCAGGCATTCAAGTTCCAAGTCAAAACTAATTCTCCTGCACCAGAGGCAGCCAGGTGACAAAGCGGACAACATGTGGACCTTAGCGGTCAGAGAGACAGATCTGAATCCTTCCTTAGCCATTTATGAGCTGTATGACCCTGGACAAGTCACTTAACCTCTCTTTGATTCAGTGTTCTTATCTGTAAAATGTGGAAAATGATAGCATCCAGTGGCACAGCGGAAAAAGTGGTGGGCCTAAAGTCAGGAAGTTTCATCTTCCAGAGTTCAAATCCGGCCTCAGACACTTACAAGCTGTGACCCCGAGCAAGCCATTTAACTGTTTGCCTCAGTTTCCTCATCTGTAAAATGAGATGGAGAAGGAAATGGCAAACTGCTCTAGTATCTCTGCCAAGAAAACCCCAGGTGGGGTCTCCAAGGGTCGGACACGACTAAACAGCACTCCGCAGGCCGCGGTGACCTTCACCCGGGACAATCGTTGTGAAGCGCTTGGCAAACCTTCCGGGGTCACTGTTATTTCACGTGAGAGGTGAAGGGACAGAGACGGCAAGGAAGGAACTCAGCGGATGTTGGCAGGGCCCGGCGGGAGCCGGGAAGCCCTGGGTTCCAACCCCACCGTGTGATTTGGGGTGGGTTATTTAACCTCCCTGGCTAAATCTTCAATTAACGGAGGATGAGGATGGCAGAACCCCTCCCTCGCCCAAAGCAGGCAATGTTGCTAAAGCGCTTCGACAATCACAAAGCGCAATGTCAACGTCCGTTATCAGCAATAACTACCGCTTCCTCACGCTCCGGTCCAGCTCCTTGCCATGCACGCAGGCCAGAGAGGACCCCCCCCCCCGTGGCGAGGGGGGAAGAGGAGCCACCACTTCCCGGCAAACGTGTCCCATCCTCCATCAGCTCCGCCAGAAAAAAAGCCTCTTGGGAGCCAGACTGCATTTCCCATGGTGTCACGCTTCACAGACTCACTCCCAGAATCCTCCGCACAGTCCCGCTCTTCCTGTACCGCCTCCACCTACAGACTCCAGATTCCAAACTACACGCCCCGGGCTTCCTGGGCGAGGGGGGCTAAGCGCATGCGCCAGCGAAGAGGCGGGCTCGAGAGCCCCTGTGGCTCCGCCCCGCGCGGTGCCGCCGCCATTTTGATACGGACTTTCATCCTCCACCCGATGAGCTTTTTTTTTCTTAAAGGAGAAGCGACAGCTCAAAAAATTTACCCCCATCTCCTCGACAGAACTGGCAGAGCCGAGGGCAGGAAGATCGAGAGAACTGGAAGAGGGGCCCAAGGCCCGGACCGAAGGCCTGCCTAGGACAGCTTCCGTGGCCTAAGAAGTGAGGGGAAGGAGGGGTTGAAAGGGCCCCGGTAGCACGAGCAGCCCCAGCACCTCGAGGCGAGTGCGCGCGCAACCTCCCTCCGGAGGCTGGAGGAAGGAGAGCGCGGGGCGGGGCCTCCGGACGCGGGGAGGGAGGAAAAAAAAGTCACATTGGGACTGTCGCGAGACGCGGTCGTTTAACGGTGAGAGCGGGTGCGCGGGGGGAAGGAAACCTCGCGCGCTCCCCTGGAGTCGCCTCCTGATTGGCCAAAAGGAGAACTGCGGGGTGCGGGGCAGGGGGGGCGCGAAGGGGCTCCTCGCGGGGGCGGATCCCGGGGAGCAGCCGGGCTTCGCTGATTGGTCGGCGGTGGGCGGGCGCGCGCGCGCCGCTGGCGGCGGCCCGGCTGTGAGTGGTGGTGCTGGCCCGGGGGGGGGCGGGAGCCGGAGGGGAAGTGAGGGCCGAGCGTGAACCGGGCGGGTGGACGGACGGACGACGGACGGACTGACTGACGGACGGAGGGACCGGGGGAGGGGGCAGCGGCGCGGCCGGCTCCGCCGCCTGAGGAGGGCCGCAGGCGGGGACGGGCGAGCCCCGATGCCGGGGGGACGGAAGAGCCGCGACCCCCGGAGCAGCAGCAGCCGGAGCTCGAGCCTGAGCAGCAGCGGCCGGAGCAGGAAGGGG